CGACGAAATTTGCAATTACAAGGTGCTCTGTGCAAATTTCGTCCGAGTTTATAATTCGAAGGCAGCGTCTAGCGTCGAGTTTTCCGCTCACGACGCGAGCGGGGGACAGAGACGGCGATATTCGAAAATAAATTCAAGTTAGAGGTGCATCGTTTTGAAAATTTCCACGTTTTTCCGCGCGACGTAAGTTGGGATGTGTACAGCGGAGTATAAATATCAATTAGAGAAGTTGCTTTGATATATGGCGCCGAAATTGTTAATTTATGGCTCCGATGTAACACACGATGTATCTCAGCTTAGCTGTTATTTTGTTATCAAAATCCCCAAGTTACTTTACATGAATCACTTGCGTACAAATTAATGGATTTTTTCTGTCTTTTTTTTATATTTATTTAGGGTATGACATTTTTCCGTGATATTTGACAATATTTTTTATTTGTATTGATCTTTTTCTATCAAAAACATGTTTCCTACACTAATATTATAAAGAGGAAAACTTTGTTTGTTTGGTTGTAATGAATAGGCTCAAAAACTACTGGACCGTTTTTAAAAATTCTTTCACCATTCGAAAGCTTAAGCTACATTATCTACGAGTAACATAGGCTAAATTTTATTTTGGAAAAAAATTGGGTTCCGTAAAATATGTAGATAATGTAGTCCACGCGCGCGAAGCTGCAGGCGGAAAGCTAGTCATTAATAAACTAGTGCTATTCGGAGCGTAACTACTAGCCATTTCTATTAATTAACGAAAACAAAAGTTCGTATCCTATCTACGAAATTTAACCAGCAAAGGTATTGCCGAACGTCCAAAATTACTAATCAAGCAAATCGCATAGAATCTCTAAACTAGGTATCTATCTATCTATCAGCAAGTGCAGCGGTGCAGTGGGGGCGGGGCCCCCGTCTCGTCGCCATGGCAACCGCAAGATGGCGCCCACGAAATTAGCCGTCTGCAGGCTTTATGAGCCGTCTTCATTATGTCGGATTTCAATTTATTTCCGAATCGACCGCTCGGATTGGAAGTTCCTTTAATAATGTAAAGCTGGTTTAATGCTTTTTTAATTGTAGGTCGAGGTATTGTAATGTTCATTCGCTATTCTAAAAGTTTGAATGAAACAAATGCCTAAAAATACAGAACAAAAGTACCAGAAGGTTTTATGATTCAAGGCAATTTTCCTACAAGAGAAGCTAGCAGTAGGTCATGTTATTCGAGAGCTCGTTTTAAGATACCATTCAATATTTATTCCCAGAAATTCCTTACTTCCCCTTATATTGCTTTTTTATTACTTCTGTTTTTATAGCTCTTATAAATAAGGAAATTTGCAAGTGCCTCACAATTGTAGAGCTTATATTCGGAGTGGTAGAACTGAGATCTGGATGGCCAGGGAAATATTGTAAATTACAATTTCTAATAAGAAGTGTATGTAGCAATATTGACCAAATGTAAAAAACGTAGTAGTTTTGAGATATCACATTTTTGCACCAGATTAGCAATAAACATGATTTACTTTTAATTTACTTGCTTAACTCATCATACTTGTTAGGTTTTTTATTAGCAGTCAAGCTGTAGATACTGGCTACACAGGAGTTGCAGCGGTGGGAACGAGAGGTGGGAATAGTCTCCTTGATAGATAAGGCTTTTTTTTATTAAGGCACATGAAATTGAATTCCACACCTGGAAAATGTTTACATTATCTATTGTAGGTATAGGTTTCTGCGAAAAAGCTTTAAAAGTATTTTTAATTCATCTACAAAAACCTTGCAAACGATACGTGTCGTTAAGGATCAATTTCGCGTAGAGCCGTCTGGAATTCGACAAAGAAGAGGTATTCAGTTGCACAGATAGACGATTGCAACTTGCGACTTAACATATTGCACAAGGCTTTCGGGTGAGAGACACTTTTTGTTTGCGGGAAGTGTGTGGTTGAATGAAGACTGGAAAAAAGATGGCAAAGATCGCGTTGTTGGTTTAACACTGTAGAGGATTAATTATTTAGAATTTTCACTGGATTCGATAGTCAACTTTTTTTGTTCCTTTTCATCTTTTTCGATCTATGGAGTCAGGGCATTCAATTGGTGATAGAATATCTCGCTCGTCCCGATTTCAATTAATTTATAATTTTGTAAATAGATTAATATTGGAAGGGTAAAATTTACTTAGTAGGTTTCCCGAAACATTGATATCTAATCATTAAAAACCTTTTGGTGTAAGAAATATTAAAAAAAAATCGTATTTTTCGTTTAGGTATCCTTAGCGCAATGATGTTATGAAGAGTTATGCTCTCGTTTAGTTTCTATTTTAGTTATCTAGTAATAAATTAGGCTTGCCGTTGTCATTATGTAATAAACTACTACCTCCTCTATAACTTCACACATCCCAGCCAAACGAACGTCTTTGAAAAAGTTTAGTCAACAGCCTCGCAATCTTTAGCCGCCTTTGTGCCGGCTGTATGCTAATCGCTACATAAAGCCTCGTGATTGTATGGTGAGAGAGATTTAAAGAAATAGTTAGACGTATGTGTATGCGCTTAGGCGGTAGATATCTATTGATTGACTAGCGGCCGCCCGTGACTTCGAACGCGTGGGTCCCGTTTTACCCCCTTAGGGGTGGAGTTTCGTAAAATCCTTTCTTAGCGGATGCCTATGTCATAACATCTACCTGCATGCCAAATTTCAGCACGATCCGTCCAGTGGTTTGGGCTGTGCGTTGATAGATCACTATGTCAGTCAGTCAGTCACCTTTGAGTTATAGGCATACAATTTAGATATATTTTAGTGTCCGCTTTCGCATACTATATTTACTGATCTGAAACTAAGGCTGAGTTGCACCAGCTGACTTTGACCGTAACTATTATTATTATTATTCTGTCTTATGGCTTCAATGGTGCGTAACCGTAACTATAACAATAACCGGTGTTTTTTGTGTGGAGTTTGACAGATTTTTGACGTTTGTCAAAGTTAAAGTAAGATGGTGCAACTCCGCCTAAGTGTATGTAGGTTGTGACAACCGAGTTCACAACCCTAACGACAGACTTAATTAAAACTCTGAAACACAGAATCATAATTATTTTTAGGAAAATGTTATTGATTCAAGCTCTCAATGTTCTTACCAAATTAGAAACACTAAGAACTAAGTTTTGTTCAAAAGGTACTTTGTTCTTGTTGAAATAAAGTCCTCCTTGTCTATTTTTATAAAGAGACCAAAAGATTAAAGTTATTAGCTTCATTATTGTCACTAACAAAGATTACTTCAATTCTCTTTAAAGGTTTTTATAGATATAATCGTACATGACTTGGTATGATATAAAAGTACGTAGTACTTATTATTATAGTGATAAAAGTTGATCATATCATAAAATATATCTACAAAGTTAGAGCTTGACAACTAATAATTTTACCTTCCTATTCCCTATGCTATCCTATTTATAGGCCACTCTACATTGTTCGAAGTGCACTCATGACATTACACAGTGCATTATCGTGAGTGCAGTAATTGGAATGGACACATTCGATATTGTTCATTAATTTAATGCATCGAAGGTGTGCATTAATAACTAATATCTGAGAGAGCGCACTATCTCAAATAATGTTGAACAATTTATTGGTATATTATGTTTATATAATTTGTTTTTATATGTCTAATTTTTGAAATATTTCAAACGTTGCTGTAATGGTGAAGAAGACTTACATAAATGCAAAGATATAGTACATAGTTAATAGGGTTTGTGTATTTTACAATTTATATTTTTATTGATGAATAGATAGAGTACTTTGATACGGGAAATATCTCTCATTTTTATCTTCTAAAATACTATGTAAAATTATACACCAATAGTTAACGATAAAAGGGTAGTGATAGTGACCCATCTAAGTGGCCGTTCATAACTCACAAATACTCACAATCTACGCTCGTGACCGTGATCCTGACCCAAAAATCCGCTTTGTTAGTAAATAACAGCACTCTTGTTTTCAGTTTCACGAATAAGCCGCCAATCCATTCAGTAATTACAATTTACAGTCCAAACGCACTGAATGAACGCAGGTGCCACGCCGCAGGGCGCGCGGAAAAATATCTCGCACCACAACAATACACGACGCCATCGCTGTATTTGCCATCCATTTCCCGCTACACTTACTACACAACACTAAAACAACACACAAACTCATCAATGTATCGCCTATTTCCAGCGATAACATCCGATAGGTCACACAGCCTATTAATCTCCGTGAATGGGGCTTGTATTTGAGAGTACAGTTGGCCATGAACCGCGTCGCAGGTTACTTTATTCGTATATTCGGCTATTTTCCACTGAAAGCGAGAGTGACCCGTTTTTGAGCGTCCCGGTTGATTTGCCCACGTAATAGGATGTGGTTTTTGGACGCTGTTTTTGTTTGATCTATTGACAACGAAAGTCCGTGTGCGAATAAATTTGATTTGCGTTGGATTCGCGTCGTAGTATGCTGTAGATGTTTCGTAGCACCGTAGCGCTCTATGCTACGGCGTGATTTTTCGTAGCTTTGTTTTATTCATTCAGTGTATACCTACTTTTGTTTTACTAGGTGCGATTTGTAAAATATTTTTCTTGAATATACGAGTAGGTACAAACCATTTTAGATTAGGTAAATGGTGCTTTTAGATTCTACAAAATGCCTGTTTTGTTTGTATTTGAAAATATTGAATAACTGATAAAATAACAAGCTAACCGTGATCTTGAGCAATATACCGACATACAACTGGTATGTGAGATAAGTCAAAGTTGTGAAACTGAACTTTTATATGACGTCATCATAGCCTTACCTAATGCGGGGCATTTTCAATAAATAGCCCTTCGTTAAAAGCTAAAGTTCATTTAGTATTATGCGGAATACATAATAAACATACGTTTTTTTACAGTAATTATGATTTTTTTTCATTCACGTTGATGTAAATCTTTCAATAAACATACACGTAAAAACGTAGTATAAAAACACATTTAAATTAATGAATTAGTCATGATTAGTCACCGCAAACATGATGGTACGTAAAAGATGAGAGAAACAAAGAAAAAGGTAGAAAAGTTAAGTGATATACTCACGGGAGTGGTAGCGGAGCGCCCCCTGCCTCGGCCGCGCCGCGACTCGCTCTTGACCGTCTGCAGCGTGCCGTCCGGCGCCAAAATAAGCTAAAACAACACAGACACACCACGGACTTAACATAAAGCAAAATAAAGTAAGTAAAATAAAGGAATGTTAACACAAAAGGGAGAAATGAATAGAAAAACATGCAATGGAGTCAAGGTTAGATGGCGACAGATTAGTTGTTTTTAGTGGATTAATTGCGGTTTTTTTTATTACAATGATTTGAATTATGTAAGAATATTTATTTACAATCTCATACGAGACGACAATATTTGCCTTCGCACACAATACTTCAAAGTTTCAAACAGCGCCACCTAGTGAGTCTGTTCGTAACTAAAACGTACTTGGGAAAGCGTGCTTTTCTACGCGAACCTCATTCACTTCACTTAGCAGTTCAGCTACTCCTCGATAGATGGCGCTGTAGGTCGCGTCGTAAGCTTATTTTGAAACTTTCTGCAACTTGTTTTTTTGTTTTAGTGGTAGCCCGAAGTAATTCTTGAATTTAATAATTAACCTTATGAATTCAGCTAGCTTCAACTAGTGAATATCTAAACAATTAGCTGTATTTTAATGTGACATGTCAAAAGGATAAATGTTTTCCTAGCATCTAGGTAATTTAGTATGAATTATTTTTATCCTGGATTTATTTTTTATCACGATTGTGTAAACGTAACGTACCTTTTGTAACCTATTTAAGGCCATAATATCGACGTCAGGATACAATGTTTATGCAAAAAAAGCGTATCTATTAAAATAATTTAGTTACTAAGTTAACCGAAAATCGACAGATGTATAAACTACTAACATAAAATCGCTTTTAGACTAACGAGTTTTTCATTTGCCAGTCATACTAATTAAATTAGATACTGTATGGGCTTTAATAGATACAGTTTCTGTTGACTAGCACATGGCATTCGGCTTGCACCTGGCGTTTTAGTTCGTTACTCCTGTTTTTGTGTTAGACGCGCACGACATTTGTTCACTCGCTGTCCCGCTCTTTTGCACGTACATCTCTTTCTAGCGTTGTCTATTCTTATTCAAATCGCAGGTTTTGTAATTGGACCCATTTATGCAAACAGGAACCAACCCACACTTTGAGTGAAATTGAGTTAAGTACATAGATGGCGCTCAAATAACGCATTCTATCTTCAAAAAAATTATGGTACATTTTTAACGACTAACAACAGAGATACAGCACTGTCACTTGCGGAACCAACCCGCTTTGGCCAACTTTTAAAAACTATAAAGAACTATACAGCATGGTCCCTAAGCACTTATTTAAACTAATTATGCAAACTAGAACCAATGTTGGTTGGTTCCATTTAGCAAAAATTGTTACAAAATTTTTATACTTAACTAAACAGAACCAAAGATTGTTTGCTTAGTGGAAATCAGGTTAGTCTTGAAGGAACCATGTAGCATAGTTCTTGATAGTGTTAAAATTAAGCTATTTAAAAATAAAAAATCCGTTCTTATCGTTGCGTTTGTACCTTTATCATAAAAAATGTCTTAATAATAACAAAATTTGATGAATAAATTTATGCATTGAAAAACTCTACTCGAAAAAGATGAAACGAAGCAGTATGAATAGTATGATCTATGACCTTAGCCTGTTCTTCAAAACGAAATAACGACGTTGACAGCTCATGAATGAGACGATTCTCGATGACTCTCGAAAACAGCTTGTAGACATGGCTCAGAAGTGAGATGGGTCTATAATTCTTCAACAAGGTTTTGTCGCCTTTTTTGAAGAAGAGTATCACCACATTACTGTGCCATGCCGTAGGCGTTTTTTTGGCCTATCGATTTTGAGGTAGAAGACGATAATAATAGTGATTTTAGTTTGAAGGGTTCGTGATTCCAATTCACCATCTAATAAAAGGCATTAAAATCTATATTTTATATAGAATGACTTTTAATTTTAGATATATCACAACAATGAAATCTTACATCCATTTTGCAAGAAGGAACTAAGCAACAAAAAATGTTTTTGCAAGAAAGAACCAACCGGTTTTTAACGATTTACTTTAACTTTAACTTTACAAAATTTATAAATCTGATATTCCTAGATAGGCTGCAGTATCCCACATAAGATTAACAAGTAATCATTCATTTATATATTATGTATGCATTTTGCGCACTCTTTTTACAAAAGTCTCATTTTCTCGAAACCACCCTGCTGTGGGTTGGTTCTTGTTTGCATAAATGGGTCCAATTATCCTTTTCGGCCAGAATTAATGTTTGGAATATTCTTGTAGCAAGTAGTTTACGGTTCACATTTTCGGCAGCTGTGCTTACAAAGCTGGTTCTATGGTACAACTAACGATGTTTTACAATTTTTGAGCAGATAACGATAATGTTGTTAGTTCGTTTAATTTTGCGGTTATGTCAAAACTTCAGATACAACTGTTATTAAGCCATCAATATCTTGACTGATATTCAGCAGTTTGTCAAAATTTTCGGCTTGTAATAACGGTTAGCTGCAAATTGGCCTGGCCACCTCTGAGAGTTCGTAACCTGTTCTGTTATCTCGCTTTTGGTAAACGGGCCAATTACCAACATTACGTCAACGGACTTGAGCCAAAATTGCCGTACGTGCGGACGCAGACATCACGCGACGAGATGTTTACTACGGAGTATTTCGAAGACACGTATTATGAGACATGTGTTCGGCAGCGTGGGCTGTTGGGGTAGGTCGAGAGAGGCACGCGACCACTCTCATTGATAGAGACTACGCCGTAATTTACGTAATTAGTACTCTTTGTACTTAGCCCAGCGTGTGGTCGGCTTTTATTGAGCCTTACAAATTAAGATCTGTGAGTATTGACGCACGTAATTACTATGCGCGATACATTAGCGGTAGTCTCAACGATTTTAACGGCATCCTGCACACATTGTTCCATGAACCTTGGAATCATTTTTATTACATTTATCTTTTGATTTAATCAGAACCATAAATCGATGCGTACCATAAATATAATTTAATAACAAAATGAGATCCAATAACTAAAGTAAATACCCGTAATATGAATAAATCACCATTAAAATACACTTTGAAGTCAACACTGCACGTCCCGATGAATTGTCTTGCCATGATGGATGGAAATGGCTGTTATTTAAAATCGGTTAAAAGGCAGGTGCATCGTATCGGCGAAGATAATAAAAGCACACGATAATCTCGAACGTTAATCTGTACAGTAAAAATAATGAGGTTAATTGGACTGTGTTTTGTTTCGTCTCGTGCCGTCCGTTTTGCAAACCGTTACTAAATTACAATGGATGTATGTATTTAGTGCCGCTACCCGGCGACAGATGGCAGGCAAAGAAATTTGCGGAACCACGCTCGCGTTGGTACGAATTATAATGGTTTATTATTATTAACATGTATTGTTTTTATAAGGTATCATAATATGAAATCAAGAGCTTGAATTAATGCAAATTGAGTAAAATTAAACTAAAATAGTATTATAGATTTCACGAGACATTATTTTATTTTGAGTTATAAAAAGTCACAACTGAAGATTCAGAAAGAAGTAAAAATTTCTGGCTCTTTAAATTTGATCCGATACAAATCGCCTGAATCCAAATTTAGTCACAAAACGCTGACTGGCGGTGTCTACCACGAGTCAGTGGTTTTGTCGAGCTACAAAATACGATTTGACATACGACGACGCGAATACACTTCAGCCGACCGAGAAATTGCCTAAACATTAGTTATCTACCACGAATTTTAAACGGAATAGGTATTCTAAAAATAAGTAAGTTTTTATGACGGAGTTGAAGCTTTTGAACAGCGTTTATGGTAGGTATTCTGAGAGACGTAATAATGATAAGTTACACCAAAGCCAACGGTCAAGAGAATACAGGGATGATTACGGTGCGTGCATTTAACTTAAAGTTTTTAATTAATTCAATCGGATTGTGTAGCCACAACACAACGACCGCTAAGGGTTAACTAGCCAAGAGAAGATTCGCCCCATTTGTATTCATTTTTTATTCGACTCAATATTGTTCGGTTCCGTGTCGTCACCTCGCACCCCTTGATACAATGTTTAAACAATGAAGGGTGGGGGGGCCGATCATTAATAACTACATAATATCTGGATAAGCTCATTAACATTTTTGTGTAGTAAATTAAAAATATGACATGGTAAAGCTAAAGTTTCATGTTTGTGACGTTACGTGATAGCGATCGTTTTAGAGCGTGGCTTTGACAATTTTACTTAATTTTTCAATAGATACATCTAGAGACATTAAACCAATAATTTTGTCCATATTAGTGATTCAAAAGTAGAACTGTTTGCAGGTACCTACTTAATTTCATATTTTGCTTCACTTGTTTTGAAAATTGATTTACCACAATATAGTATTAAGACATTCTAGATGCTCTGAAATATTATACAAGTTATACAATTACCTTCTAAGTAAATCACTTTCTCGAAAAGTTAATTTAATTCTATTCAACCTACGAGACGATTGTAAACAAACGAGAATCTCCTCGAATTGGCGACATCGAGACCTGATTAACCTTAAACTGCTATCGATCTACCCCAAGGTTGCACTACAGGTGTCGAGGGTGAGGGTTGGATATTACGGCTGATGGGGCGCAAATTGGCCCGAAAAGCCCCGTTACCGATTGCTTATTTAGTTATCCGCAAGATTTTCGGCATCAAAATAGTGCGGTATTCGAGAATCGAATAAGAAATATTTGATGACGTGAAATATGTTAGAGTAAAATGATTTCTGTAATCATGCGATATTTTCAGCGAATGGAAACTGAATTGATCATTCTGTCAATTTAGAATGATATCGAAAACTAAATTGGGATTTGCAGAAGAGATATTAATATTCACACAAGATACAACTTCGTTCGTTTTTCATCTATCTATATAAATAAAAATGAATTGATGTTCGTTAGTCTGATAAAAACTCGAGAACGGCTGGACCGATTAAGCTGATTTTGGTGTTAAAATGTTTGTCGTAGTCCAGGGTAGGTCTAAACGGTGAGCAAATAAGGAAAGATTTGCTTATTTATTGCCTTTAA